AAATGGCCAGAAGTGTGATTATATACTGATTCATGGGCTGTAGCCAATGGTTTGGCTGGATGGTCAGGGAATTGGAAGGAGCATGATTGGAAAATTGGTGAGAAAGACATTTGGGGAAGAAGTATGTGGATAGATCTCTCCAAATGGGTAAAGGATGTGAACATACTTGTGTCTCATGTAAATGCTCATCAAAAGGCGGCTTCAGCAGAAGATGAGTTCAATAATCAAGTAGATCGGATGACCCGCTCTGTGGACTGTCAGCTTCTTTCTTCAGCTGTCCCTGTCATTGCTCAATGGGCCCATGAACAAAGTGCCCATGGTAGAAGAGATGGAGGTTATGCATGGGCTTGACAGCATGGACTCCCATTCATGAAGGCTGACCTGGCTACAGCTGCTGCTGAGTGTCAGATTTCCCAACAGCAGAGACCAACACTGAGCCTCCGATATGGCACTGTTCCCTGTGGTGACCAGCCTGAAACCTAGTGGCAGGTTGGCTACATTGGACCACTTCCATCTTAGAGGGGACAGTGTTTTGTCTTTACAGGAACAGACATGTATTCTGGTTATGGATTTGCCTTTCCTGCATGTAATGATTCTGCCAAAACTACCATTCAGGGACTTACAGAATGCCTTATCCACCGTCATGGTATTCTGCACAGCATTGCTTCTGACCAAAGAACTCACTTCACAGCCAAAGAAGTGTGACATTAGGCCCATGGTCATGGAAAGCACTGGTCTTACCATGTTCCCCACCATCCTGAAGCAGCTGGCTTGATAGAATGATGGAATGGCCTCTTAAAGACATAGTTACAGCGCCAATTAGGTGGCAGTAGCCTGGAGGGCTGGGGCAGGGTCCTCCAGAAAGCAGTGTATGCTTTGAATCAGCATCCAATATATGGTGCAGTTTCTCCTATAGCCAGGATTCACAGGTCCAGGAATCAAGGGGTGGAAGTGGGAATGATTCCACTCACTGTCACCCCTGGTGACCCACTACGAAAATTTTTGCTTCCTGTACCTTCAACTTTGCACTCTACTGGCTTGGATGTTTTGTTTCCAGAGGAGGGAGTGCTTCTGCCAGGAGAGACAACAAACATTCCATTGAACTGGAAGCTAAGACTTCCCCCTGGACACTCTGGGCTTCTGATGCCCTTAAGTCAGCAGGCTAAGGAAGGAATAACAGTATTA